TGAACTTACTTTTGCTCTCTTCTATGGATAGCATTTCGAATTTTACACACGTCATCGGCAAAAAATCCACTGAACTTTGGTTGATACGAATAAGAAGATACGAAGAATGAAACATTCGATAGGTGAAACTTACATTATCAATCAGAATAACGCCTCCAGGTCTCAGAAGTTGTACACACTTCTCGTAATAGTTCAAATAATTACCCTTATCCGCATCAATAAACGCGAAATCCCACTTGCCCGACTGACCAGAATTAATGAGAAAATCTGTAAAGAGTCTCTGAATCTATCGTTTCTATCATCCTATCTTACTATAGCAATGTTTCATCGGTAATGAGCTAGCTGTAATAGCATATGAACTAGTCCCACTGGTGCAAAGTTAAGCGTTTAGAATCTGTACTCGTGATTAGTGATAACTCGATTGGTGCATTTACTTCTTCAATACTAGGAACATTCATGGACATCATACATCAAAATACTTCTAATGCTCTATGAAACGAAGAAATGCAAAGTTTAAAATAAACTCTGCACAATACTCTCCGCCACTTTTAAGAGACAAAACTCTCGGCAAGCTAATAATAATTAATGAAATTATCGCAGTAAAATGATTGTTGCTTGAAATGCTGAAAGCCAATTTTCCATAGACACTGTGCTNATAATTAATGAAATTATCGCAGTAAAATGATTGTTGCTTGAAATGCTGAAAGCCAATTTTCCATAGACACTGTGCTGCTCTATAATAATGTGTAAATATCGTAAATTCATTCACCAAGCTGCTGAATGGCCGGTCCAATTGATAATTTGATTTTGTTGGCGACTGCTGCTCTCCGTCCAATCAACGGTCGTCCAACTCGATTGAACGGATCCGACGAAACGTCCATAGTTAGTACCTCGCCATCGGTTGGCAATGCCAATGCCCATGCTAGCGCTGAGGCTCCAGTGTAAGTGCCTCAAAAACAAAGTAACATTGATTGCATTTGATCAAAATAACTGAAATTTTTGGGATTCACGGTGAAGAAAAAAAAAGAAAGGAACTGAACGCAATTCACCAATGTCAAGTACTCGTTTGGCTCCAATCAAATGAATCATTAACTGGCCAAGCTGATGAACTTCTGGTGCCCCGATCATACCGCCACCTCGCTCGTGCAGTGTTCTGGCATTGAGCAGTCGTTGCAGAGGATCTAATTTTAGCGATACCTAAAATACGATGGCCGTATTGGATCAGCTAAAATCAACCAACACCAGCTTTCTGAAGC